GGCCGCGGGCCACTTTTGGCAGGCGGTGCCGGCGCAGGAGGCGCAGCGGCCCGGCCCGCCGCTGCTGCAGCTGGAGCAGCCCTTTCAGGGGGGCCCGGCCCCCCAAAAGGCCCTGCAAATCCAGCTCTCCGCCCAGCAGGCCCAGCCCTCCGGGCCGCAAGCAGAGCTGTCCGCCTTGCAGCTGCAGCCCTCCTGGCAGGGGGCAACTGCGGCCCCGCAGGGCCAGCCCGGAGGCCCCTTAGCGGCGGCACATTTTCCCATGGGCTCCGCTAAGTCACTGATGACTCCCCCGGGAGAACCCAGGGCCTCGCCAATAGACCGCAGGACCTCGTCCAAGGAGCGCAGGACCTCGTCCAAGGAGCGCAGGGCCCCTCCCAAGGAGCGCATGATCTTCGCCGCCACCTTCTGCGCCCCCAAGGCGCTGTCGGCCTCCCGCGCGCACCTGCCCGCCGCCTGGAGAGGCTTCCCGGCCGCCGCGGAGACCTTCCCTGCCGCCGCGAGGGTCCTTCCAGCTACCTCCCAGTTCCAGCCTGCCTCGTCGAACGCCTTTAAGGGCCCATCTGTCACCCCGGAGACCCCAAAGTCACTGCCGCTCGCTCTGCAGGATCCCTTTGCCTGTGTGGAGGCCCTGCCCGCGGTCCCCTGGGTCCCACAGGCCAACGTGAATGCTTCGAAGGTGCCCAAGGCGGCACCCAACCTCCTGATGGCCACGGCGGCCGTGCCCCAGGTGATGATGGCCACCTCCCAAGAGGCCTCAAAGACGCCCGACGAGCCTCCGCGTCGCTCCGGCAAAGCCACCCGGAAGAAGAAGCACCTGAACACCGAGGAGGACGCTGGCGTCGGCCAGATGCTGGCCCTGCGTGACTGGCAGGCGCCCAGACCTTGGGGAACTCTGAACTTGAGTGACTGGGAGGTTCACACCCCCGTTCAGGTCCTGGGGGGCTGGGAGGGCCCCAGCACCTCCCGCAGCCTGAGCGGCTGGGAGGGCCCCAGCACCTCCAGGATCCTGAGCGGCTGGGAGGGGCCCAGCACGTCCTGGGCCCTGAGCGCCTGGGAGGGTCCGAGCACCTCCAGGGCCCTGGGTTTGTGGGAGAGCGCCGGTAGCCCCCTGCCTCTGATGATCTCTGAGATCCCCAGTCTCTCTCAGGGGTTCGGTGGCACCCAGGATGAGTCCAAGCTGGAGACTCAGCCACTGTCCCCCCTGGATGAGAGAGCTAATGCTTTGGTGCATTTCCTCTTGCTCAAGGACCAAGCCAAGGTGCCCATTAAGCGCTCGGAGATGGTGAAGTTCATCATCCGTGAATATAAGGATGAGTGCCTAGACATCATCAGCCGTGCCAACAGCAAGCTGGAGTGCGTCTTTGGTTATCAATTGAAGGAAATTGATCCCCAAAACCACTCCTACATTATCATCAACAAGCTGGGGCGTCGTAAGGGCGAACCGGTGGCGTCCTATCTGGACACGCCCAAGTTAGGCCTCCTGATGGTGGTCCTGAGCCTCATCTTTATGAAGGGCGACTGTGTCAGGGAGGACCTGATCTTTAACTTCCTGTACAAGATAGGGGTGGATGTCCGAGAGAACCATGGCCTCTTCGGAGACACGAAGAAGCTCATCACAGAGGTGTTTGTCAGGCAGAAGTATCTAGAGTACAGGCGAATCCCCAATACTGAGCCGGCACAGTATGAGTTTCTCTGGGGCCCCCGAGCGTTCCTCGAAACCAGCAAGATGCTTGTCCTGAGGTTCCTGGCCAAGCTCCATAAGAAGGATCCGCGGTGCTGGCCATTCCAGTACGTTCAGGCCCTGGCAGAGTGTGAGTCCGAAGATTTAGAGGAGGACGAGCCTGGGTCCGACGACAAGGCTGGCGACCCCAGCAGTGGGCCCCCTCCCCGCTAGTGAGGGTCAACACGTATCTGGTTCCTTTGTGTCCCGGCCAGAGGCCACCGACGGGGTGGGGTGGGGGGAGATGTTTCGTTTCTGGTGTTTATGTCCCTGTCTCACGTGTGCACATTTGGATTTCGACTTGGTTTTGTATCTGCCAAAGCTTTGTACATTTTCATGTGGTGTTGATTTCAACTGGCTACTGTTCTATTTGGTATTTTGGCATTTGTATCTTTAAGTGAGATCTGTGATTCTCTGTTTTGTGTTATAATTGTCATGTTTTCGTATCAGACTTGTCCTGGCTTTGTGAAATGACTTGAGAAGCTATATCCATCTCATTCTGGTACAGATTACGTAGCACTGGAATATAGGTTGTTCTTTGAACGTTAAAATGACTCATCAGTAAAGCTGTCTGCAGAGAAATAAATATCTATATCTATATCTATAAATATACTTTCGGCATAACGTGGAAGTGTTTGTCTTTATTCTAATTTTTACTCTAGACGGCGGGGCCAAGTTTTAGCGAGTCTCCGAATACAGCCCGACGTCAAGACTCCACGGGGATGCACCTGCGTTGGCAGGACACTTGTCACAGAGCAGCCGTGATTCCGACGGGCGGGGAAACGTAGGGTTTGTACCCGGGCGGGAAGGCTGAAGGCGGAAGGGCTTGTGCCCTGGATCCTGCCCACAGTCCTAAGTAGGCTTCATTATCTCGTTTAGGCTCCGGTGGGTTACCTGAATGGCACGGGCCGGTGCCAAGTCAGTCGAGTGGTCATTTGAAGCAGAACACTCTCGGGTTCTGTGAGGAGAGGGGGCCACGGGCTCGTTGGCCCCACGGGGGGATGGGCCGAGGGGGCGTGGGTCAGTCTGGCGGCCCGTGGTGGCTGTCCAGCGGTGGCTGTCCAGGACTCGGGGGAGCTGGCTTTTGGGGATGGAAACAGGCTCTCTGCAGAATGCCCGGGACCATGACAGGGAAAGGCAGCGGGGGGCTTCGATGGACATGGGGTGGGGATGGAGGGGGACACCTGGCGACGTGGCCGCCGAGGGGAGGCTCCTGGGGGTGGGGGGCCAACGCTAACGTGCAGGGGGAGTCGCGGGCGCAGCCAGAGCCTCTCTCCGGGCGCGGGGCCTGGAGAGGGAGGGAAGGGGGTCTGTCACACGCACGCGTGGTTTGCACGACTTCCCCGGAGTCACTGCGCGTAAGGATGCAGGACCCCGGCCTGAACCCCCGACTCGGGCCGGAGAGGAAGTTCCAGCCGGGAGGCAGGGGCGACGGTGGGACTCTCCTGCCACCTAGTGGCGCAGCGCGGGTCCTGTCGCTCCCGCAGCCAAACACCTGGGCGGCGGGGACCATTTGCTCCGGAACCTTTGTCCACAGGTTACCTGCACCCACGGCCGAACGCTCCACTGCCCCCACATCACAGGACGATGCGGAGACGCTTCTCCCAGCCGACCCGCTGGCACCTGGAACCCAGCCCCTAGAGTGGGACCTGCGAGCTACTCCCAGGACAGGCGGAGCCCAGCCTCCTAGGACCCGGGACCCCAGCCCACAACCTGCCTGGCTACCGGGGCCCTCTGACGGGTTGTCCCAGGGAGGAGTTTTCCAGAAATTTGGCGGGAGTTTCCCCGTAAACACCTTGGTTCAGGGAAGATGACACTTGTGCCCAAACTCAAACCCGAGTTATTTTGATGACAGCCGGGCACAGCGTCACCGCCCCCTCTGAGAACCGTCCCCAAACGAGGCTTTGCTGGGCCCGCAGAGTCGCACGTGGGTCTAGCATTTCTTGCGTGTGTACCTTTCATTGATGATTGTTTCTGGCGTTTTCTCTAAATCATTGGGTCCTGGGATGCCTGAGCAAGTCGCTCTTTGTGGATTAAAAACTTGGAAAGTGGCATCGCAGGGCTTCGGTGCCATACTCGGGGTGTCTCTGCGGCATGACAGAGAAAGCGGACCTCCCACTGACAGCGCACGTGATCCAAAGCAAATGACATTCTTTCGGCAATGCTCAGAGCTTAAGACCTGAATGGGGTTAAATTCTAACGAGATGAATGATAATAAGATTGGATTTTTAAGTACAAATAAGGGAACTAAATGAGCCAGATGTTGACTGGAAAAGTTTAAGAAGAGACAGCGGACGTTATAAAAACAGAAGGCAGAAAAAAAAAATCCAGGGTTCCGGGAAAACACAGGGCCAGAGCGGCGCCGACAGGCTCAAGACCCATGTATTTGAAAGCGCTAAAATGTAGATAAATACAAGACGGAGCTTTTAATTTCAAAACGGGGAAAAAAAAACAAAACCAAAAAACTCCTATGACTAAATGGGGGGAAGGGTATCCGGTGACAAAAAAAAAAAAAGGAAATTTAAGTGGGAAATAACACTGAAAACCAGTCCCCCTCACTAATATTTAAGGGCAGAAATACCAGACGAGCAATCGCTTTTATTAAATCGGCCTGGGACACAATAAAAGCGCACGGGACATCCAACGCAAGTAAAGTTGTTACGGAGCCAAATGTGCCACAGATAAAAGCAGAAATGGCTGTAAGTTGTCCAACTGCGTCCTCAAGAGGTTTCAAAAGATTAAGATTCTCTAACTTAGAGGATGCTCACGTGGGCGTATGTCGCATGGAAGTAACCTGCATGCAGGCAGAGGCTTCACGGGGCTGGGGGGCGGAGGGTATTCGCCGCCTGCGCCCCCCAAAACCGCTCACCGGGGTGGTCCAGTGAGCATCCCGCGGACACCACCGTCTGCCCCGGAAAGCGACGTGCAGTCTGCTCCAACGCAAAGTGGCCCGTGCTTTGCAGGAGCAGGTCACAGCAGGGGCCGGGAAATGCCCCTCGGAGCCGCAAAGTGATCCCAGGAAAAGCCACAAATCTGTGGGAGCCCCGGGGAAATTAGAAACGTTTCTCAAAGTGACCAGTCCGGGGCCCTGATGTGAAGGAGGTTTACAAACCCCAGGACATTTGTCTAAAGGTAAAGGACCATCTGAAGTTTGGAGTGACTTGACTCGCAGCCACGCCTCCTGGGGGCAGCGGACCCAGGGCCAGCTGCTCACCAGAGCCATACAGCAAGTGACACTGTCAGCAGACGGGCTGCTCACTGCGCCTGCGATGGCCGGGGCACCCCAGGGTCCCCGAGCCTCGCGGGGCACCCAGCCCACGTGGCACTGAGTGACCTGCAGAGTTAGAGGCGTATCCGCGACTTTAGTACGTTCTCGCCCATGGACACCAACCGCGAACGGACACAAATCATTAATGACACCCCTCCCTCTGGGTACCCGAGACTGAAATCCATGCGGCCCTTCCTGCGGTCTCCGCCTTCAGCGTCACCCGCACGCCAGCCGCCACCTGGGCTGCCCAGATCATCGTGTCTGAACGTTGGACGCGTCTTGGGGTTCCCGCCCCTGTTGGCTCCCGTCCTGCACCCCGAGGGTTAAGCAGCAGCCTGAACAGGGATCATGAATGAGGCAGGGTGGGGGTGCCTCTGCAGGGTGGTCCCCGGGACTCCTGGAGTCCGCGCTGGAAAGCCGGGCGTGTCGACAAGGGTGGGACCTGGTCACAGACCCTTTCCGCTTCCTGTTGTCCCCCCCCAAGGAAGTCCTATGGGCACAGAAAAGCAATGGCTAGCCAAGCAGGTCTGGGGGCCCTGGGGAGGCCCCAGAGAGGACGACTAGCGTGGGGCCACCTTCCGAGCTCGAGCCTCGTGTCCCCGAGTCCATGGGATTTCCTTCTCCCGGATCTTCCAGAAGGTTCTACCACACGTCCCATGAAGGGTCTAGGACACTCCTCGTCATTGGTCCAATCTCCTAATCCTTTCAGATTCTGAGTCACGCCTGCCCCTTTCAGTTTAAGAGGGGAACCCCGAGAGCCTTCGTCAACGGCTTCCTGTCATGCTGCTTGGTGGCACTTTGAGAGCATCCTGACGCCCTCACTGCAAACGACCTTGCAGGCTGCCAGCCTGAGTCCCAGAGACACCGGGTCTCTCTGCTGCCACTTGTTCCGAGTGGCTTCAGCTTGAGAACCATGGTCGACAGAGGGACGGGGCCACCCGACTGCCCAGCAGCAACCGCAGACGCATGTCCCAGACCTGGTGGCCTGCCCGGACCGTGCTGTCTGGGGGCTCAGGCTCTGCCCCGGAAACGGAGCCAGCGGGAGCCACGGAGCTGCGGGATCTGAGTTTTGGCCCTGAGGGGGCACTCGTGACAGCCGTGATGACGCTTTGTTCCGAAATCATTACAGACCCACGGGAAGTCACAGCGTCTGGACCGGGCGGTGTCACGCCCTGCACGCGGCCTCCCCAGCGCTGACACCTTACACAGCCGGAGCGCGACTCGACGCCACGTGGATGCACGGGCCGAGGGCACCGAGTCACAATCCCGTCCCCGCCAGGACACCCCCTCACGGCCGTGCACCTCTCTTCCCCGTCCCCAGCCCCTTGCCATCGCCACCCTCCGTCTGTGACGTCTCTGGATTTTGTCATTTTGAGAATGTCACACAGACGGACTCGTACCTTTGGGACCGGTGTTTTTTTAATTCACTCACTAGAACGTCCCCGATGTCCATCTGAATCGTTCCGTGTATCAATAGTTCGTTCACTCTTAACACTGATAAAATATTTGCCTGCGAAGGGCACTTTGGTTGTTTCCAGCTCTGAGCTACTACAAAGGTGCCACGAACTTCTGTGCGCAGGTTCTTATACGGACATTTATCTGGGACAAATGCTCCTGGGCGTAACTGCCGGCTTGCATGGTAAGTACATATTAATACTCTTTAAAAGAAATGACCGAGTTATTTTCCAGAAGGGCTGTAACATTTTACACTCCCACCAGCAATATATGACAGGCCCAGCTTCTCCACATCCCCACCAGCACTTGGTATTGTCGCTTAAAAAAAAAAAATGAGCCGTCCTAATAGGTGGGTGGCAGTATCTCAGCGGGGTCTGAGTTCGCTTTCCCCTCTGGCTAAGGGGCTGCGTATCCTTCCACGTGCTGTCACCCGTAATCTGCTCTGGTAAAATGTCTGTCCATCTCTGCCGCCCATTTTCTAAACGAGCTTCTCTGTCTTATAACACTAGGTTCTAGGAGTCCTTCCCGTAATCCAGATTTGAGTCATTTATTAGATGTGTGACTTGCAAGTATTTCTTCCCAGCTGGCAGTTTGGCTTTTCATCGTGATAACAGGTCCTTCCGTGC